CTCGTTGCAGCGGCATTTCAAAGACCGTTTTGGTTGACTTTATTGTGAGCAAGCATTTTGGTTCATGCGATCGATTTCTCAGCCATATCTTGTCCAACGAAGAACACTGCCTGCACTCCCAGCTCATTAAATCGGTCTCTCATTCGAGTACCCGTTCCCAATTTCGGATTCTTTATGCACGCACCACCACACATAAAAACAGCATGATCCCTTATTTTGCTCGCATCTTGATCAACCGAGCAAATATTATTGCTGACTTGAACAATCATCTCTCACATTAGGATTTTACGTAAACCCGTCTGTTTGTCATTTAGTAAATGTATATTTCTTCTTNTCTTCTTTTTCTGATACTTAACGTTTTTTCCAACTGTAATATGTCGAAAATGGTGAAAATTCATCCTATCGGGTGCATAAAGTTTTAATTGACTTGACTTGACTTGCATTTTTCAGAATAGTCATATATAACTTCTGACTTGCCACAGCAGGAAACACTGATGTGAGTAGCTACACCGCCTCCGGTTTTTTCCTACTTCGCTGTCTATCCTGCCGGTAGCAATCAAACACTTCTATTTGCACCAGAACGTCCTCAATGTTTTAATTCAGATAGGTTTCTGGCACACAAACAACACAGGTGTTGGAATTAATCCGTGTTTTCAGAATAGCGAGCGAACGTTAGTGCTGACCAATGATGGCACAGTTATCTTAGCAAATTCTAGTTGAACCCCTAACCCGGAGGACCAGGAGACTGGACTTCGTCCGACCTCAACCCTTCGACCTTCCAGGCGTGATTAAATCTTCGGTTTGACGAAAGCCATCCTGTGTAGCTCCTTGGGTCATAGAGGTGCCCAAGCAATTACACACGTCATGGTGCAATCTCGTCGTGATGGACAAAAAATATAGCTACAGAAGCGGGGAAAACAAAACAGTCAACTTGAGGGAATAACAAATATCTTATTTGTTTAGTGTACGCCATTTTGAGTTATTTTTATTCTTGGGATTGTACACAGGAGAGGATGTATTTACGCCACTGACTTCGGTTCGATACCATATCCTGCAGTGTCTCCAGCCAAAGACAAGCTGAACCTTCGGTCCCCAGCCAGAGAGTCGGGAAGCCCCATTGGATGCCAGATCCGAGCACAGTCTCTTCAGCCCTGTGCGCCACGTCATAGCCTGGCCTCTTCGCTGTTTTTTCTAGCTTGAACCGATGTCTGCGGATAGTGCACGGTGTGGCAGACGTTGGTCAGGCATTCGTAGGACATGCCATGGCCACCTAAGACGACGCTGTGAAATTATTTTGCTCAACGGAACACTATCTAATCCTAGCACCGGTCGTCTGACTTCGTCGTTATTCACGCGATGCCCCCACCATACACGGGCGATGTTGCACAGACAACAGTTGTCGAAGACGGATAGTCGTGATCTGCTCGGAGAAGCCAGGTTTTGCAGCCACAGATCAACACGGTGTGTGCAGTTGCGTAATACACACGCCCATTCAGTGAAAGGGATATGTCGCGCCGGCGCCAGAGATGCCGCAGATTAGCAAACGCTAATCTGGCTTTGATCATGCTTTGAGAGATCTCATCGCCCACACNCCAGCCGTTATGCAACTCCCGAGGTAGGTAAAACTTTCGATTACTTTCAGGGTGGTATTACCCAACGGCAGTGCAGGAATGGGTTCCTGCCAAGTATATTAAGCATACAGTGACCTTAATGAGTTAGGTAAGTAAGTTTACGTAGTTCTGGAGGGAGGGGAGTTTTCACTGTGAATGAGGTAATTGATGAGGGCTACACTGTCAACAGAGTCAAAAGCTCTGACTGATTTATCGAATAGTTTTCAAATCCCTCAAGCATTTACCTCGAATAAGTGAAATCTACTCTGCACCTAATATACCCTCTATTCAATCCAGAAGTTTTACCAAGTTCAACAATGTGCCCCACTATGAGCGTTCCTCATATCCGGAATTCCTCGAACCGATTTCATTTTAAACTCAAATACGGTCTCACCAGATCCTATAGATGTCCTGTCGTGCCTTTCTTGATCTGATAGGTAAGGTACTGTAAGCGTTCGAAATCCCAATCTGAATGGACAGGACACTTGTTAAAACCAGTGTACTACGAAAAGAAAACATCTGTATATGCCTATGACATAATGTATACATACAGGTAACTGAATAACGACTTAATCTGTGTAACTCAGGTAGAATTTTAACTTTCTATTTGCATCGTAATACAACTTAATATGCTATTCTGAGTCTTTCAAGACAGGAATTTCTCATGGGACAACCAGGTGCACAAAGACGTACATAAAATAATCAGACAACAAAGGGAACGAACGAATGCAACGGAAAATCACTTACTCAAAATAGCACGTCGATGACTCTGTCTGGTGGCGGTTCGACGTTTGGAAAAATCGTTCACTTCGAGCACGTGGTCGAGTTTCGAATGTGCGCGGGGACCAGGAGACGGAGTCCCAGTGGAGGATAAATGCTGCTGATGTTGTTCACGTAATTCGCACCACGTGTTGTACAGCTGACGAATCCAATCGCTGGTCATATTCTCCAGATCAGTCTCGGCTGCGGGCAGGCGGGCAAATTGGCACTGAGCCCATTTCGCACGAGCCCACTGACGACGATGTTCACTGGAACTGTGTGCAGTAGGTCTAGACAGACCACTGCTGTCTCGACGCATATCTGCCTCGTAGATCATGTTTACCAGACGATTGCCCAAATTGAGCATCACATGAAGCTGCTCCGGCTCCCAGTTATCCAAAGTCAAGGAACGGATCTACCGATCACAATCGGTGTGGATAGAATTTGTACGTAATAATAGCTTTCAATCGTAAACATATAAAAACCAAGGAAGCTTATTGGATTAAAAACTTGAACCTAAATGTAGAGAAAGTTTAGTTATTGATAACTTTCAGGAGAGAGAATAAACGGTTACTGCATAGGGAAAACCAGGTACCACTCTATACGTTATTGACCCAGTGTGAGAAACGACTTAAACTGAACCGTTCCTAGCTATGCTGAAATGCTTTAGGTTCCGTTTAGAAACCTAGTGGCCAGCAAATTCAAGTCCTGGAAACAGCACCGATGGTTACTCTGGTCGACAGTGGGCCCATGTAAAAAGCGGTAATTTTGTATTAGGCGGGTTACTGCGATCATCAGCGAACTATGGCCACGAGAACTGGTCGCCCGGCAACCGTAAGTCGAGACCCTGGGAGCGGAAGTGGAGAACCATATCAAACAGAAATAGGGTACGGGTAACGGCAAGCTGTCTGTTACCAAAGCCGGGTGGCGGTGGCAGCGTTCAAAAACCTGGCCTTAGGGACTAACGCAAACCGGAAGTTTTTGAACAGATGGTGGAAGCTGTGTGCTTTCGCTTATACAATCAAACACCCCTGTTGACAAAGTATTGAAAACTGGTTCTCGTAGCTCAGGTGAACTGAATTCTATTTCGCCTGTTCGCCGAGCTTGGCAATTTGTTTGCAAACGTTTCATCACCAGCCGAGGTGACATCATCAGTGCTTGTGAAG